GTTGTAAATATGCTGCTCTTGCTTTGCCGATCCGCGCCTTCACATCTGCATCAGATCCACCCTGTTCATCAATGATACTGCCCAGATGTGTAAAGGTTTTTACATCTTCCAAATCTCCGTCGATTGTGATTGGATTGATGCATGCTGTGTTGTATCGGAGAATCTTGTTTTTCCCTTTATGTGTGTTGAGACCTACTGCTGCTACACTGGTCGTCCTCTACTGCGTTTGTTGTTGCGTTTGGGATAGAAGGGCCAGATCATCTGCGAAGTCCAGATCGTCCAATTGCATCCTAGATGTCCATTGTATTCCGTGTTTCCCTTCAGATGTTGACGTTTTCATGATCCAGTCGATCACCAGGAGAAAGAGAAAGGGTGAGAGTAAGCAACCTTGCCTGACACCGGTCTTTATTTCGAACGAGTTTTTCAACTGTCCTCCATGCACAATTTTGCAGTTTAATCCATCATATGAATTTAGTATGATATTAGCTATCTTCTGAGGCACGTCGTAGAGTCCAAGAAGCTTCCATAGTGTTGTCCTGTCCACGCTGTCAAATGCTTTTTCGTAGTCAATGAAGTTGATGTAGAGTGATGAATTCCATTCAATTGATTAATCCACAATGATCCATAGAGTTGTCTTTGAACATTTCATGAATAGTTAAAGTTTTAAATGTAGGAATATCACTTCTGTTTCATCTACCTAAGGGGATAGAGATATAGTACTTTGGGCTGGGTGCCATAAATTGGTTCCACATTTCGTCTTTGAGTATTTTCGAAAGTTTTTAAATTCTTCTGAAGTATGATAGAGAACATTGATTTCGTTTTTTAAGTCATTTCACTTTTAAGTATAGTTTTCGGGATTTTGGTAGAATATACTGTCAAAATCCTGACAAATCTTCTTAGAGTGTTTTCACCATGTTACTCGCTATCTCTCCTATCCACAATAACCATTAGCTTGTTTATGTTTGGTTTCGATTTTATGGTGTTGTGCGGTTCATTATGTCTGTAAATAAACCAGGTCTGTGGGAGCTCATTGTTGATCTTAGTTTGGAGGCAGGGTATTTTGAGAAGCTTTCTAATAACTGGTCAAAAAGAACTTAGCTGTAGGCTGAATGTAAAAATCTACCAGCCAGGTGTGCAGTTGAGCACGAGACAGACCGAATTATGATTATGGTTGATGTTTTGGGATGTTATACTGGCCAGTGATCATAAGGTACAATCCTACACGTAACATGGGTTTGTGACTGTCAACAGTCATTGAGAGTTTTTGTTGGAGTTTCAAAGCTTCACATCAGTGAAATAGGATATTTTGGCTGGTTTAAGTAAAGCCAGGATATTGTTTTTCAGAAAATGAGATTAATTCATTTTAATCCTTTGTTTCCTCTTTAGATGCATACAAGTTGTTATATTTATTTAGTTTCAGCTGCAAAAGAAAATGAATGTATGATTGATACTTAAATGAAAGTTGATGAATGAGAGTAGAATTATGGTCTACTATGATGGTAATACTGTTCTAATAATAGACCTAATCCTAAAATTGTACATTTGTCATGTAACTGTCTAATCTATAATATCATACGTGCGAGTCATATCATTGTCAACGCCAACTCATCACATCGTACCAATAACCAATATATGATGGAGAATAAACTTGGACTAGTGGTAGAACAATATATTTAATATTAATAAAAGATTATGTTACTACACTTAAGAGTGACCACGCCTGCAAGGTTGAGCCATGCCGTCCAATCGATTGGGACTCCATTCATTCTTCCCGCCCCTCCACCGTTGGCTTTTCTCCGCTTCAAATATTGAATATCAGTTTTCCCGGTTGTCTCGTGTTCAGCTTTGAGGATAGTGTGATTATGGCCCAATGCCACTACATGAATACATATCAAGATTAACAAACGATCTTGTGTTGGTAAATAAGTGTCAGTCTTTCAAAGAGTTGATAAGAAATCGGATACTGATTATAGTGGCAAGTCGATTGTCTTTTATATTGTTAAGAAGAGGGAGAGTTCATAAGTCGTATTGAAAATGAAATTAACTTGATAATAGAGTTGCCAAACGGCTAATGACCCGGAAATCTCTGGAGTCACGTTGCTAAAGGTGGCGAAAGGGACTTGAAAGTTAATTGAAACGGGTTTCTAAAAGTAGTATTTAAGTATCTCAGTGAAAGGGACTCGATACTACAGAATGAACAAAAACCAAAAAGGTCACAAGTTTCTGTCCGTAAATAATTGTTGATTGCGACACCTTATAGGAAGACGAGAAGCTGAAAAAGCAAAATTATCAGTGCTAGGTGCACAGATAGACTCGATCAAGTCAGAAGTTATCGCAGTCTTATGAACGCGGCTGACGCAGTTCGTAGACAGTCAGGAATGTGATTCTTAAAGTTTCACACTAGTAAAAGTGTAAAGGTGGAGTAGTTCTATTTATCCAAAGTACTATCTCATTTACCGTTATTGATAACATATCCCGCTAAAGTGGGGCGTGCGAATTAGTCAGTTGCCGCTTGAGATGCAAAGGACAAGAGCTACTCATTGGTTTCTTCTGTAGCCCTCTAAACTGCGAGCTGAATGAAGTTTTGCTAGACACTTTTAACACTTGATCATAAGTAGTCTATGCTTCTGCTTAGGAGGCTTTAGTATACCTACGGTAGACAAAATATCTAGGGACTGGATTGTCAGAATATCCTTTCGAACAGAAACTACTTGATGCGGTTATCAAATATGCTTTAATTCAGCGTGTGAACAAAGCAACTAGGTGCGTTGTGGACTCCGAATCATCCTTACTTGGTCTCATATCGACCCATCATGAAGATAACTTCACTTCTATTATTTCCCACCCTTAAGTAAGAGTGATCATGCAGTCCTAGTCTTTAACTTCTATGTGGTGGTGAATAACGAAGATGTGTCGGCCCAGATGTCTGGAAAGAAAATTTACAAAATACTATGCACAACATCTTCAGTAGATTGGTCATTAGAACGAGAGTGTCCTATTCAACGGCTTAAAACGTGTTAACAAATTTGTGCATACAATTTGCTGCACCACACACCCCTTGGACCACATCAAGTTGTACGAGAAATTCCCCACTGCAGTTCAATAAATAGGTCTTTCGTGCCTATAGGTAACGCTCGTGCTATTGATAGAAGAAACCAGACAAGTAGTGAATAGGTCTTTATTTCGATCTTAGCGCAGTCACAGTGGAGCGTGGGATTATCTGTTCAGACAAACAAAGGCTTTCAACATTCAATATCAGATAATAGGGAATATAATGCTTATACAAAATAAGGAAGTGAATGAATCCTACCTAATTTTCGTGTACATATCCCAATAATTTACCTATCTCTTTTCAGTTTTTTAAAAACATAAAAAAGTCACCCGAGTTTTGTCTTAAGCTATTATTTATCGTTTTTATTATTTTGGTCGTATTTCTTCAAATCATATAAACAGAAATACTGTTTTAGCATATACTTGGTTGTTTGGGGTCAACTCTTAACCAACCAACCTATGCTGTTACAGGTCCACACTATTCTCTGTGAGAGGAGAAGAATAATGAAGGCGTTCATGTTACAAGAGACATCATTTCAATATCGAAAAGCTCGAAGTATACGTGTCTCGACCCTCCGCAAGTCTGGAATGTTGTACAAGACAAGCTTGGTAAGGAGTCTATGCTATAACTTAAACGCTTGTACTCGTACATAAACCGAAAGACTAAGAGAAGAGGAAATAGTTCAGCATGTGGTGAGACAGAAGTATTGACAGCAGTGCTGGATCATTAGTGGGGGGAATTATGGTAGAGCTCGGGTATTCTCGAACCAGTTTCGTAATGTATATATCGTGGAAGTGCCCTCCCTTGCAGTTCATACATCCCTTCACACGCACTCTGAACACTGTGACAATGTCTTTGGTCTGCTAAATAAGCTTTATATAAACAAATCTATGGGACCCGATGAAATGCATCCTGGGTTACTAAGAGAACTAGGACACTTCTTCGCAAATCCCTCAAGCATATGTTTCAGTTTATCTGTAAGCCAGGATCGATAGCCAAATGAGAAGCAGGACGCTATAATAAGCCATAACTTCAAAACGGGTACGTGACATAAACCTTAGAACCTCCGACCCATATACCTAATCAGCATGTTTGTCAAAATTTAAAAAAAGATTATTCAGAAGTTTTTTTAAGTATAGCATGGCTTTAGAACATGTTACTCCTGTCTCACAAAATTATAAGTAGTCCGTGAAAGATGATGCGTTCCTAAATATCAAAGTTACATATAGATGTAGTCTACATTGACATCAATAAGGCTTTTGACAAAGGTCCTCACAACAGACTGTTATATAAGTTAAGTGATGTGGAGACTGGAAGTGATTTCTTTATATGGTTAAAAACATTCCTAGTTGGGCGTCGACAAAGAGTATAGGCGAACTCAAAATAGTCTAGCTAGAAAACTTTACTTGCCAGAGTGCCTCAGGATAGAGTTTTGGGTTCAGCGTTGTTCCTCCTGTATGTAATCAACCTTCCAAGTCACGTATCAACATCACCGGCCTTGATATAGAGATTGACAAAAATTAAACGTGATAGTTTAACGCTTCAAAATAACATGAAGAAATTACCTGGATGATCTCAATCTTGGAAGTTGTCATTAAAGGCTTCCGTGTGCATTATGATGCATATTGGTCACCAAGGTACAGGTACGCACGTGGAGAGTAATAGTGAAACTGAGGACGATTGTTCTTGGGCTCCTATAGGGTCTCAAGCTTCAAACAAGCCGAAATAGGTATTTCTTACAGAACGTTTTCTGCATTTGGCAAGACCCGGAGAAATTCACTGGTCCAACCTGACCATAATCGGTACACTTGGTGGAAATTACAGTTTGTGCTTCAGCGAAACCACTGCCTGGGTTGATTGCAAAGGTTGAAACATTCCGTTTTAAAGAAAATCTTCCAGTAACTCAGATATTAGGAATTGCTTGTTTTATATTTCAGTTTACATAGATTGTAGATTGAAGGCGTGGCTTATTAAATTAACCGTTACAATAATAGTACTCGGAAGTGGGTATTTTCAATCACCGTTCTTCATGATAATATTTTTCACAGTTAACTTCACCAGTTGACTTAAGCCAGAATACCATTAAAAATATGAAAGCACTGGACCTATTGAAGCTAGACATTAGCACTATTGGTTCCCGAATCAGTGGTCCAGAGGTTCGAGCGCGAGACTGAAAGCCCTGGGTACGAATTTCGCATGTGTGGTCGTGGATGCGTGCTGCTGAGGGGTTGCATGCTAGTTTAAAACGGCTATCCAGTGCTTCCAAGTTCTTAATGATCGTCTGGCTTAGGTTGACTGGTGGATTCTACTATAAAATTACAATCTCCACAAATTTCCGTATGATATTTGTCTTCTGAATACCTTCATAATACTGTTTGTCCTCACATACAGACCTGTAAATGACTAGGCAATGTTATTTATGTGCCTTTGTTTTTTATCAAGAAAACTATCCGAGGAAACAAGAAACAAGAGTCGAAATGTCGTTTTTCCCTATCGCGGAGCAATAGTGCCTATTTTCCCCAAAAATTTCTTATTGAGGTTAATGCTTCAAAGTTAACACTTCCACTCCCCAAAATTAACACCAGATTGTGTACCCTCTCTGCGAATTGGTGTTATGACATCAAAATGCTTTTTGGAAATATTGTTTTTGATAATGGCTTTATGGCTTTGTGACTGGGTTTATAACATTTTCAAATATCAGTCACTTATTATATGGTCATGAAAACGCTACAGTGTCATGATGTTTTTCGAACGCCTAATTAATTATGTCTTTGCAGAACGGGAATTTGTTACTCGAAGTTCAATAAACAAACACATTATTCTACCATATATTTTGCTCACTTGTCTCGATACAGGTAGTGTCTGTAGAATAGCTCTCTAAAGATCTGGTTATTATTAGTCCAATTTTTCTAGAACAATTGATAAACGATACTTGACTTTTCTCACCATTACTTTATAACAACAGGTTTTTAATCTCTCTCCGCTCCGATCACTGACCTATGAGAAGCATAGAAGCGTGGAAACTTCCCATCTGTGACGGTAGGGCCAGCAAACGTTTACCTGGGATTCGGTTTTTACTTATCATTTTACCAGCATAGTTTTAGTTAGAAGTGTAAATCTAAGGATCTGAACAAATTCACAGTAGGAGTCGAAAATCATATGTAAATCACTATGATATTTTAAAAGTGATCCTGTGTATATCAAGTGTCTACCAATTAATAGACATTCTTTTCAGACTCTTCATTGACCTTTATGAGCCGATTGTTCATCAAGTGATGTTTGAAAACCCTTTAGTGACCCGTTTTTGCCATATTTTGGCGAGATAATATGCCAAGTAAACTGTGAAATTAGAAGGGCCGTCATCTTGAAACAAAGATTTCGTTGCTAAAGCTTCATTTGAATTCAGAACTAGGTAACTATTTCCCCGCACGTAGTGTCATATTTTTGAGTCGTTAACTAACAATGAGAAATATTTCACTTCTTATTTCTACTTACTGATTACTGATATGTACGATATTTGATACCCAAATCGTAAATGTATGTAATTTTCGAAAATTACGTCAGTGTTTTGATCTATCCCTATGTATTCACCGGGATACTTGGCATTTTGTGAGAAACTTAAGTAGAAAACATTTCAAGACCTAATTGTTGTTTCTCGCATCTATCTAGACTGATCTGTTAATTATAAATCGCAAAGTTATGCTCTAACAGTTTGCAGTATTCCTGACTGTGCACTAAATTCATAATTCTAGTGTTGGGTTAACATGCTTATTCCAATGTATGATGAGTTCTGCCACCAGTTAACTGTTCTTCTCCAGGAAGTGCGTTCGACAGATACCATAGTACTAGCCAGTGACTTAATTGCTCATGTTGGGCGTCTAGGCATAGAAGAGAGTCGTCTAGCTGGCCGTTGGGGACTCGTTGGTCGCAAGACAGATAACGGTAATCGTCTACTGCAACTGTGCACAGACCAAAACCTGTTTCTGGCTAGCACTAACTTTCGGCACATTCATCGCCGATGTGCCACCTGGTGTCCTCTCTCTGCATTTCAAGCCTGGACTCAGATTGACCACATCGCGATCAGCTACCGCTGATGTGATTGTGTGCAAGACTGCTGCTCCTTTTAGAGTACCTATCTGGACTCTGATCATGCTTTGGTCTACACCAATCTTGCCTTACTTTTCAGTGGCCAACGAAGTGACCGCTACCAACGGATTGATGCCAGCGAATTGGTTGCAACTTCTGTTGCAAGTAAGTATCGGATCGAAGTTCTAGGCTAGCTATCATCCCACCGAAAAGTATATATGAGCATTGGTTGCAACTGCATGACGCCATAAAAATGGCGAGTAAAGCCGCTTGTGACTTGGCGAAACGTCCCGCTTACAAGCACTGGGTTTCTTCAGGCTACTTACAACTTATCGAAGCCTATCGGTCTACTCCGGGTGACCGTGAGTTTGACCACGAACGAAGGATGTTACGTAATGAAATCGGGCGAAGCTTGCGTAAGGACCGAGAAGCCTGGTGTTCGGAGCATGCTAATGAGCTGGAAGCAGCAGCTGCATCTGGTAACTACCGGAAGATCTTCCAACTCATCCGAGCCACTGGCAGCAAGAAGTCTGGTGTGAGCGAAACAATCTGTGAGGATGACAGGCCATCTTTAGCGCCTTCGTAATATTAGTCTGGCTGTAAAAGGTCGAATCTACAACGCGTCGGCGAGAGCAGTTTTGTTCTATGCTTGTGAAACCTGGCCTCTCCAAGTTAAGGATGTTAGACAACTCTCTGTGTTTGATCATCGTTGTCTCCGAAGGATTGCTGACACCCAGTGGCAACACCATGTTAGTAATGCAGAGGTTCGGCATCGTGTGTTCGGACGCGGAGACGACAATGCGATTGGTGTCACCATCTTGAGACACCGACTTCGGTGGCTTGGACATGTTGTACGAATGTCGTCCCAGAGAATTCCACGTCGTGCATTATTTGCTGAGGCTGGGACTGGTTGGAAAAAGCGGAGAGGTGGTCAGTGTGTGATAAGTTGTCGTGGTATGAAAGAAAGCTGTAAAGGAGCTGGCTTGTGTTGGTCCTTCACGACTCCGTGGTTGTGGTCCTAGAGGTGGTGCGACACAGTGCTTAGAGACGTTATCGGATGTGGCTGAGAATAGAAGCCAGTGGCGATCCTGCTGTAACCTTCTACTTTCTTCATAAAAAGTGGTTGTATCTTCCTTAACTGAAAGAATTCTCATGGTTGTACCTTTCCGTTTCCCCCATTATTATTATTACTATTATTATTACACTACCTTACACTAATCTGTGGTTGTAATTGTTCTTTTTTTTCTTTTAAGCTCCTTACCTTCTTTTTTCTCTTCCCATTCTCATTGTTTTTTCGGCGCATATATATATATATATATATATATATATATATATATATATATATATATATATATACGGTGCCCCCTTGTACCAATATTTATGTCTAAATAAGTAAATAAAATAAAAAATCTACATTTCAGTCAATTGGTTGACTGCTTAAAGTCTGACTATACTTTTACCAATAGGAACGTACCTGCAGCCTGGTCAGTGATAACCTACAACTCTATTAAATAACTAGTCAACACATCTTAAAGCTGGGCCTTACGCGTCGTTGTACATGGTTGCTTTGTGAGAATTGGAGTCTTTGTTCGTGGTAGATGATTGTAGGCGGTCCGGTTGATGCTCGTAGCCAAATGGTATTCTTAATTGTCACTTATCAATAAGGTGTATCTTTAATCTTTTGGTGACCTGTGTCTTACAGTATCACTTTCAGAGACATTGTCTTTGTGCTGTTCAGTTTGAGACTGACCAATTGTAGAAATGAGATATTTACAGTATTTACCGATTACTTACTTTATATAGCTTACTAACGTCCTGTTTATCTAGTCTTTATTGTTGATGGAATCTCAACCCAGTCACTACTAGTGACTTAGTTGAAATGAGACGACCTTGCTTATACTATATTTTGATGTTAAGTAATGTATATATCTATCATAAAAGAAGTCATTCTCTTCCAAAACAGCTCAGCAATGGCGCAGGTGCATCCACTCTTTATGTTCTCACAAATTCTAATCTGAATTCTTCATGTTCCGTTTTTTCTCTTTCCAAATCTGTTTTACTGGATTATACTGCTTGAATAACATCCTAAACCCTAGTCTTTCCTATTACTGCTTATACTCTTACTACCACTATAACTACGGGATTTGAGTCGACAACTGCATCTCTGTGCTAATATGGTATGACAACTCGAACTGATGTACGTACATACGTACGAAGTCCTACGTTGTTACTGACTGACTGGGCTATAATACTGCTCGGGTGCCCAAACCCGGATCCTTTGACATAAAGTTCTGATCCACAAAGTAGTAGAGCAACGTCAAGAGATACAGTCCCATGGTAGCCGGTGATCAACGATTGGTTCGTACACCGTCCCTTCAGGATACTGCAGCTCATGTGCACCATTGGTTTGGAATCAGTCAGTCAGCTACAACGTAGGACCAGGCACATGTGTGCATCGGTCCAGGTTGCCATACCGCATCAGCACAACAAGATGAACACCGGATTCATAACAGTGGTTAGGTAAAAGGTGGTAATATATAAGAGAAAGATTGCATATAGAGATATAGTACAAGAAGAAAGAATTGGTTCGTAGAAAGAAAGATATGAAGCGATTTTAATCTCTTGGTTTAAGGAAAGACAGGGAGTATATACACCGACGCCATTGTGATCGATTCTGAGCCATGTCACCAAGAGTCTCCAACCATTGGTTAAGATGGTCACACGGACCCCAACCAAGTAGTCTGCATATACCAACATGGCTCAGACTAGAAGTTAGTGTCTTCAAGCACTGATGCCACGTTTTGGTTTGGCCGCCCCTAACTTTCTTCCAACCATTTCCAATACCGGATAGCATTGCACGTCGTGGTAATCGGTGTTCAGGCATACGTAACACGTGGTTCAACCAACTCAGTCGATGAAGATTAACAACCTCATCAACTGATTTATCATCATTACGTAATACCCTGCGTCTAACCTCAGTATTACTTACCCGGTGATCCCAAACAGACGCCAGCAATATTTCTAAGGCATCTGTGGTCAAATACTAGTAGCTTACGAGTATCTTCTACTCTTGAAGGTCATGTTTCGCTGCCGTAAAGTAAGACAGAACGGACTGCCCGCAGTATACTCGTCTTTTTATTGATAGACAGATATCTCGCCTTCCCCAAAAGTTGACGTAAGTTGACAAAAGCCAAACGAGCTTTTCGAATCCGTGCTGAGATTTCGTCCGATACCAGCCCATTAGGGCTGATCAGACTTCCAAGATAAGTGAAGTTGTCAACGCGTTCGACCACTTCACTCCCTATCCTTAGTTCAGGTGTTGACGCAGGCCAGTCCTGAAGCAACAAATTGCATTTAGAGGGAGAGAAACGCATTCCAAACATTCTGGCATTGTTGCTTAGTGCTACCAAAAGACTCTGCATTTTATCAGCGTCTTCACCAAACAGGACTATATCATCTGCGTATTCTAAGTTGATAAGTGGACCTCCTGGAAGGAGATCAGTACCTGAGAATTCAGTGGACGAGAATGTTATTTCCATCAGTAGGTCTATGATGAAGTTAAACAGAAATGGAGAAAGTGGACAGCCTTAATGGAAACCACTTGAGGTTGCACAAGTAGATGACAGTTCGCCATAAGCTCTGACTCGACTAGTAGTGTTCGAGTAAAGAGCCTTTACAAGGTTTATGTACTTCTGGGGTATGCTTTTCAATGACAGACACTGCCACAGAATCTCGCGGTCTACCGAGTCAAATGCTGCTTTTAAGTCAAGAAAGACCACCATCGTCGGACGCTGATAAGTATGCCTGTGTTCTAGAACCTGACGAATGGTGAATATGTGGTCGATGCATCCACGACCAGGTCTGAAGCCAGCTTGGTTTTCTCGTGTTTGCAGTTCACGAGTCTTAGTTAGGCGTCTGATTATTATTGAGGCTAGTATTTTAGATACTATATTTGTTAAACTAATCCCTCTGTGGTTGTCGCAAGATGATTGTGATCCTTTCTTATATATTGGGGCGATAAGTGATGGCGACCAGTCAGATGGAATGACATCTAACTCCCAGATCTTAGCTAAAATATCTGTCAACCTAACCGCTAAAATTGAACCACCATCCTTCTGAAGCCAGTCCATCTGGACCAGCTGCCCTTCCTCGTTTCAGATTAATTATGGCCTTTTGAACTTCTGCTAGAGTTGGGGGACCTATTTCAATGTTCCATTCACACTGTCTGGGAATGGACGGTAGTTGTAGAGTCGCTGAAGGCCAGCTGAACTGTTCCCTAAAGTGTTCCACGCATCGTTCTAAACGTCTGGACTGGGAATAGATGAGAGTATCGTCTTTTTCCGAAATAATCTCACTTACACTTGACTTATTAGTTCCAGTTTCTTTTATTAGTCTGTAGAGCTGTCTTGTGTTCCCTATAGCCACCGCCTTTTCCATCTCTTTTGCTTTCGTTGCCCACCACTGCTTACGGTTGTTTCTTAGACTTTTTCTTAACCTAGATCTGATTTGTTGTCGCTCTTCATCATGTTCGGAACCTGATGGGACGAGTTTGCGAGAATCCATCAGTGTGATAGACTTTGAAGAAATCCACTGGTTCTTTGTAACTCTGTGGGTTAAGTCACTAATAGATTTCATTGCTGTTTCCACAGCTGTTTTTATATCTTTCCAAGCAACATCTGGGTCAGGCTCGTTTTCAGAACTAAGTGTGAACTCAGTTGTTCTTGGAACCTATTTTTGGTTTTCTCGTTACTCAATTCAGTTCTAATGGGTCTTTTTAATGTGGCTTTTTTGCGTCCGGTGAGGCGCAAGCAAATGCGTGCCCGTATTAGGGCGTTGTCGGAGTCCAAGCAGGTACTCCAGAATGAGCGACAATCTTCTACCGACTCTCTCCAACGATGACTGATGGCAATATGGTCTATTTGAGTCCATCGTTGGTTTGGTGTAGGGGGTCGCCATGTTAGACGATGTCTCTCCTTATGCTTAAAATTTGTGTTTGCTAAAAATAAGCGATTGTCTGAGCACAGTTGCAGCAGACGATCACCATTATCTGTTCGTTGTGCCGGTATACTATAATACCTACCTAAATGTCTTTCTGTTTGGTTTAGACTACCTATCTGGGCAACGACGTGTGTCTCTATCCTTCCGAGTTCTTACGGAGCTGTTTAGCCGGACAGCACATAGACGACTGTTGATGGGGATCCACCCTAGCAGTGCTTGTTCGTCCCTCATGCTTACTGCTGTGCCTACACCTGCCAGTCCACGAGAGCTGGCCATCGGGTCACCAGATACACGGAGGGTGTATCTCGTTGGCTCTCCGTTTTGCCGAGGTGAGGTCAAGTGAATGACTACACTGGAATCCTGTATGCGTGTTTCGGAGACACAGCATACATCAATGGTACGAGATTCTAGGGTTTTAGCCAAGGAAGTCTACTGACCGATTTGACATATGATGCGTACATTGAAGGCTCCAATGTGTAGTGTGGAGCGAGGTTTCAGTAGACCTGGGACAGTGTTTTGAGCACTAGTATCGTTGGCTATGGTGACACTGGAGGGGGAAGCCGAAAAAAGAAGTTTAGAGTTTGAAGTTGATGTAGGAGGAATAATAGGAATTGAAGAAGGAGGTTGATTATGAATCCAGTGGTCTTGAGTGCTGTTAGAGGTATGAGGGCGGTTATCACTTCCCGGTTGCCCACACCGTGGAAGGGTTCTTCTGGAGGTACCTGAAAAGGAAATTGGATTAGAAGTGGTCTTAGTGACCTGGGAGCGTGACCGCAGTGCCCAAGGGACAACTGCTTGAGGTCGGTCACACACGACCTTTTTATGGGAAATTTTTGTGTTAGCTCCGTACTTGTTGAGACCTTACCGCCGGAGACGGATATCCGTGGGATAAGGCGAGGTGTGCATTTTTAGGGTCGACCTTTTCCAACCCCACCTCTCCTTGTGGGAAGGCAGCATCGCTGTCATGCTGGTTGTCTGAAGGAAACACCTTACTGCTGTCACACCTCTGTACAGTCAGCAGTACGACTTCGCCTTCAGACCTTGAGTTTGTTGCTTTTAGTCTTATCGCTCTTCAACCGACCTTTCTGACGTGGTAGGACCTTGAGGAACAGTTGTTCCAGTCAGTATAGCTCGGTTGCTTCATCACGATAGGCAAGCCCGACCACCACGTCAATGTAGCAACAACGGGGTTTTCCAACGTCCCTTTGTGCATCATCCATATCCACCAACCGGTTTAAGACACTGGACATTCGTTTTCCGTCCTCTCAATTTCTTAAACAAAACCCCCACCGCGAGAAAGCAGTGAGTAGGACTTCCCTGGTACTAGCTGTATACGTGTAGCCATGTGGGAGGATTTTGACGGGGAGAGCTGACTCCCCCACCCTCGGCTGCAACAGGACATTTGAGGACTTTGTTGACTAGTGACATGTAGCACCCTATCTCGGTTTAGGATATTTTGCCGATTGCGTCTGACCATTTAATTTTGAAAGTACATGATCTCAAGTCACTCGTACTAGTAGCCGCGTTGCAACTCGGTTGATAAACTTTGATTAGCATTTAGGAACTTGATGAACATGGGACTGGTTAGCAGCCAGTATAGGTAGTACTCAAACTAAATCAAAAGTGTTTAGATAATCTTTAAACTCATCGCCTGATTTCCAGAGTCAAATGCTAAAGCTTTCGGATTTAGATCTCGCAAACAGTAGAAAATTTCAGGTCAAAATTATGAAAAATGACCATAAGGCTTCCCACTTTAAAAGAGTATTTGTTTCATATAAATTATGTTACTAAAGGGCTTTTATTGGAAGGCTGGAAATCTGATTAAAGCAAGCTGTAACTTCGAGTTCTCAGGTAATAAGTCTCAAACATCAAATGCATAACCATTTGATTCCTAGGCTAAATTACATTTCGATCACTTGGGCCACCCATATGGTACTCAAGCTTATGACTTAAATGAGTCGTCTGATAGGTCTTAATAGTTGATATTAAAATTATATACGACCACAATTATTTGCAAAATATTCAGTCTTCTAGAGATTAATTGAAATTTTCTTTTCAACTGATTAGTACCAGAATCATACTAAATACATTGGAAAACCACATTGGTTTTCTTGTAGGATTCTGTGGTCAATTGTGATTATTTCTTGGATCAATAATTGACATTTAAATGATTCCTAATTATTGAGGCTTTTGAGCGGTCCTGTATCTTACTCCAGTAATATCGTATGATTATTATCGAAATAGACATATTGCCAATCGTATATAATTATCAACTTAACTCGCGTTGGTGAATAACGGCATCAAATAGGTCAAATACGAGAATGGATTTTTGAATACGTATATTTCGTACGGTTGTTAATCAAGGCAAATGATCAAAGAAATGAAGCGAAGAAGGCGAAGGGAATAAAGCGAAGTGGAGATGGTATGTGAGCCAACTCAATTTAACCAAGAGTGAATCAATATTTATAACCGAACAAAAATAAGTTGCAGACATGTTATGAGTAAGGTAGAAAATGAACACACATACGGAAACAGCCAAGGTTGATAAGTGAATAATTAACAAGGTCAAAACGTGACTCAAGAGGAAGCTAGAATAAGTTATGTGGGCTTAAAATAGTAACCAACACTACAGCTTCGATCTTATTACTTTGATGCGATTCCATAATTCATTTATAACATTTTTATTTCCTTCTTTTAATTTTACAGATGAAACATAAACGGGATTTAAAGCTACTACTTCATCCATACTTTATCGTGAATATGCTACTTAGCGCTCTTTTTTTTATATCAAAAACTGTCCCATTATTTTGTACATGGATGTATGATGATTGTTACATCAATCTCCAAGAATATGAAATGTTGATATTTTTAGGAAGCTTCGTCGCATTGCGCAATAAGCGTCAATTCTCTATTCCCGATTATCTTGCTCATTTTTTCATGTTTGCTAAAATCGTTAGTCTACTTATGTTCTGGAAACAGAATGTTGTATATGCCATATTATATGGTGTTTTATGGTTAGTACAAGCCTGTTTTTTACAACAACCTGTTTATAATGGACCCGATAAAGTTTTATATTTGCGAGATACTACTTTTGAACAAGAAGTTATTCGTGGTAACCCTAAGGTAACATGGCTCGTTGCTTTTTATACTGTGTGGTCACCTGCGTGTACTAAACTACAACCTATTTTTGCAGAACTGTCAGAAGAATTTGGAACAGATCTTATGAAGTTTGGCAAAATCGATGTAATACGATATCCAGATGTCGGTGTCAAACATAACATTGATACATCCTCCTGGTCTAAACAGCTTCCTACTCTGATTTTATTTCGTCAAGGTCATGAACTGACACGCAGACCAGCTATAATCAATACACCTAAGAAAACAGTACAGAAATTCACATTCACTTGGGACAATATGATCAATGCTTTTTCATTAAATGAAATATACACTAACCAGAAACAAACTTCTGGCGCTGCAAATCAGTGTGGTTCAGCTGGTTCAACAGATGAAGATAAGAAAAACCTGTGAAAACATACGGTTTCATCGAGATATTGCGTTAGGTACTTTATCTAGTCTTTCTTATATCTTTTATTTGAACGACCTGCATCTGTAAATTAATTTCACCAGTTAATTTTTTCGGTACTCAAAGCCAAATTTTTACTCAGTTAAATTGACTTCCATAGTTGGATGCCTTGGTTTTAATCCTTAGTTACTTCTGTCTTAATGTTATGTACAAATTTAAGTACTCTTTAAATGTCTTATATTGTAAAAATGTTTTACTCCGATTGATAAACAGCTTGCAAGCATGCTGTTGATAGACTAGTAGTAACCATGTATTTTTTTAAACACTTGTTTACTGATCATGTGTCGCATGACAACAGCTATTACTGTTTAAAGTAAATTAGATAAAATAAGATGTTAACTCATGAGTTGGTGAATGACAGTCTTATGTTTAGACTATTGAATCATTGTTTCCTTAAGAATAGTTCTGTCTAGTTACAAAACAGATATATCACATTTTAAAGGTTCATTTGCATCTAGTTTAGTTTCACTACAACATAGTTTAGACAATATTTTGGTGAGATGCGCTATCTCGACCCTTATTTACACAGAATGCGGCCCTTTTATTCTTATCGTACCACCAAAATGCTTTCAAAACTGATAATTAAATAATGAAGTTGTTGTTTTCAAGGTAAACAACTTTGCTGCAGATTTCTAGTTTACTTTGGGCTGTTTCCTAATAAACGTGTTTTTCGTAGTTCTCCAGCATAAAGACAAATGGTATTTATGCACATTCTCCTGTACGTTGTATTCCATGACCATGTAATCCGATTCGTGATATCTTACTGCTTTTATCTTTTTCAAATGCAAGTCTTCGACATTCTTCATTTCTAAATGTGTTTATCCGCCCGACAGCCTAAAATTAAAATACAGAAGTGGTTGTGTTTAAACAATATAGATTAAAATAATTTAGTTGTTACTCATTCGGAATAAACTTAGGACCCGAGATGATTGTACACCAACCCCAATTACCCAACACCGATGTGATATTCACAAAATGCATTTCAAACAAGTTAAATCATAGTATCATCACTAATACTAAGGAACTAATACTAAGTACAAGGAATATTGTTTGAATTAAGTCAATGAATTCTTGTGATGAAAAGTATGTAACGGTATTTAGACTTTAAATCTAGATGAGATTTGATGCATCTCCGGTCGGTAATCGCGGTTATCCCACTAATTTGTATTATTGAGTGTCCAACGTCCCTATACGGTTTTAAACAAACATTAGTCAATATTGGAGATGTTTTGCTGAATAAGAATGGCAGTTGGTTGATTTCTAAAAACAAGTCATGGTGTAATTATCTATCTGGCGAATAAGTTGCTTACTATCAAAGGAATATCGATTTGTCAACATATTTTTACACGCTCTGCTTTTGTATACACACACTAGCTTTAGTAATTCATGTAAGAAGGTTTAGGATCACCATTCTAGTTCCCATAGATTTCAGTAACAATAAAAAACCGTAAAATAATCATTAGGTAGTGAGTTAGTATACGTATATAAAAACAAATAGGTTAAGTTGAAGCAGTGTATTTTTCTCCAAAAAATAAGTCACAATTTCTTACAGCTAGATAGGAAATTCCATCTGATGACATATGTGATAGAGATGGGTAGGGATCTCAAACTGCCAAACTTTTCATGTTCAATTACCTTTGAATTACTTAAGTACCAACTGTCAAAACTAGTTATCAGACATCAGTTATTGTGTTCACTGACCAACTCTTAAAATTCTATGACTTTGATCCTGGTATACGTGATTATGACTTCAAAGTCAGTGGTGATCACAAACCAGTTACCCAATCCTTTTGGCTGGTGAGGATTTAGTTTTAATCGTACATCACTAAGTATTAAATTTCAGTTTTTTCGCAATAGTTTGTCGAATGTCATTGGCTTATTGAGTTCACTTAAAATTATTACGATTTTTGGGGTGCTGTACATGTCAATCAGAACATTTGTCTAATTCTTCTGGTCTTACTAACCACATGTATATCTCAGTTCAAGTAGATTGTCTAAACACGAGGATTTAAAAGTTTTTGTAAACTTACATTTTGTTCAAACCTCTTCAACTTCCAGAAGCTCTCTTCTTTGTTTTTGCTCATGCAGTTTCTTTTAACCATCGCATCTGTGTCAGGAAGGTAAACTCTCCTGGACATGCTCTGAGTATGAAATGTTATTTAATAATACATTTCATACCGTTAGTCCAACTAATTTTGCTTCTAGTTTGTCTGATTTCCTCATCTGTGCGTCAATCCAATCTTTTTGATATTTGTTTGAAAGAATTTCTTGAATTGGCGTGGAGGCTCTAAATGAATGTGGAAATTAGGTTTTAATGGAGAATGAATTTTCAGTAATGGAAGTAATTACCATGCATGTTTGCACCCTTGAGTATTTCTAGATCACAACACATTCAGTCTGTACTGGTCTTAGTTTTGTACTGCGGTTGTAATGCACCATACTATAGATCTTGTTGGGTCCATTTGACCATGTAATTGATTAATAATAGTTCGGATCGCGTTTTTTAACAATAAGTGTTTGAAGTCGATCTATCTGTGATCACAGACTGCCGGACAGGGTCCTAAACTCTCAGTGTAGAAATACTTGAAAGTTATGAAGACAACCAGTAAAAAGTCGTGCTTTTGTTTCACTGCCAGTATCTCCAGCATGCTAAGTAATCAACAGACTCATGCACTCTCAGCAGATCTTTTAAGTTCTTATACGAAAAGTGAGATAGTTCTGTTCAGCTGCCGACTCCCGACCGAAGCTGCTACCTTGACGCGGTGGTCGGGCTTGCCTATCGTGATGACCCAACCGAGCTATATTGGCTGGAACATATGTTCCTGTATGTTCTACCATGCCAGGCAGGTCGATTGGAGAACGGTAAGACTAAAAGCAGCAACTCAAGGTCTGAGGGCGAAGTCGTACTGTTGACTGTAGAGGGGTGTGACAGCAGTAAGGTGTTTCCCCTGGACAACCAGCATCTGCAGCGATGCTGCCTTCCCACAAGGAGGGGTGGGTTTAAGAAAGGTTGACCCTAGAAATGTCTCACCTTACCTCACGGATATCCGTCTCCGGCGGTAAGGCCCTTTGAAGAACGGAGCTAACACATTAAAAACCTTATACGAAAAGGCCGTGCGCGACCGGCCTCAAGCAGTTGTCCCTTGAGCTCTGCGGTCACGCTCCCAGGTCGTTAAGATCAACACTAATCCAATTTCCTTTTCAGGTTCCTCAAGAAATACCCTTCCACGGTGTGGGCAGCCGGGAAGTGATATCAGCCCTCATACCCGTAACAGCACACGAGACCAAGTTGGTCACATTCAAATCCTTCCTACACCTAATACCTCTCTTATTTCCATGACTAACCCTCCTCACGTCTCTTTATCATCTCGCCTCGCTAAGGCAAACGATTCGAGTACGCGGAACGTTATTCCTGGTCTCCTGAAACCACGCTCTAAACTACACGTAGTAGCTTTTAACGTCCGAACACTGTGCCTAATAAGACAGCAGGCTTCCTTAGCTAGGACTTTAGAATCTCGCGCTATCGATGTGTGCTGCGTCTCCGAAACGCGCATACAGGATCCGAGTAGCGTAATTCATCTGACCTCACCATGCCAAGATAAAGAACCGACTCGATTCACACTTCGTGTATCTGGAAGCCCTGATTCTGCTTCCCGTGTCCTCGCCGGCGTAGGTATAGCATTGAGTCCTAGGGCAGAACTAGCTCTCTTAGAGTGGATCCCAGTAAACAGTCGTTTGTGCACTGTCCGACTGAACGAAACAGTAAGGACTCGGAAAGGTAGGGACACTCGTCGTTGTCTCTTCGTCGTCTCTGCCTATTCTCCCACTGACTGCAGCGCAGATGATGTAAAAGATGAGTTTTACAGAAAGCTCTCCGACCTCCTCCTAAAAGCTAGGCGCTTTGATGTAGTAATAGTGGCCGGTGACTTTAATGCTCAAGTAGGTAAACTAAGCGATAGGGAAAGACACCTGGGTGGATCTTATAGCATCATGGCTCAAAGAACAGATAATGGCGACCGTCTGTTGCAGCTACGCTCGGATAACCGCCTCTTTCTTGCAAATACTAACTTTAGGCATAAGGAAAAACATCTTTTAACATGGAGACCCCCTAATTCGTCCCAACGTTGGACCCAAATAGATCACATCGCTATCAGCCACCGATGGAGGCGCTCGATAGAAGACTGTCGCTCATTCTGGAGCACATGCTTAGATTCAGATCATGCTCTAGTACGAGCGCGTATCTGCCTGCGTCTTACTGGACGTAGGGAAGACGCTGCAAGGAAACCTCTTAGGGTCCTGTTTAATGATAGTCAAACTAAAAGTATATTTCAGGAACAACTAGGAAAACACTTAGGCAGCCATGTATGTGATACCCACCCCGATGCAGCATGGAATGATATCCGAAAAGCTGTGGAAATAGCAGTGATATCTGCTATTAAGGTAAACCACAAGGTTGGGGAGAAACACTGGATCTCAGTAGCATCTATCGCACTGATAGATGCTCGGAAACTCATTCCACCTGGCTCTGAACATAATGAAGAGAGGAATCAGCTTAAGCGCAGGCTGACAAGAAGTCTACGCAGCGATCGTGAACAGTGGTGGGTAGAGAAAGGAAGAGAGATGGAAAAGGCAGCGGCAATATGTAATAGCAGACAATTGTTGAGACTTATTAAGAAACCGACTGTTAGCGAAACAGTCTCAGAGAAAGATGGACATATTATTCATGCTCAATCCAGGAGATTGGATCGATGGGCAGAACACTTCAGATATCAGTTCAACTGGCCTTCAGCCACACTTCGGTTTCCCACGATCTCCAGTCGGCCTGAATGGCAAGTTATTGTAGGTCCTCCGTCTCTTTACGAAGTTGAAAAAGCCATAGGAAATCTGAAACGAGGGAGAGCAGCATGCCCTGACAGGTTTACTCCTGAGATTTTTAAGGATGGTGGTTCAGTATTAGTAGTGAGATTAACTGAGTTCTTAGGTAGAATTTGGGAACTGGATGTAATCCCATCTGACTGGTCTCAATCACTGATTGTGCCAGTCTATAAGAAAGGACAAAAGTCCTCTTGTGACAATCACAGAGGAATCAGTTTGACTAATATAGTGTCTAAAATATTAGCTTCAATAATACTTCGACGCCTAATCAAAGCTCGTGAAGAGCAGACTAAAGAAAATCAGCCTGGTTTTCGACCTGGACGTGGTTGTATAGATTAGATATTCACACAACGTCAGGTTCTAGAACACAGACACACGTTCAGGCGCCCCACAATGGTAGTATTTCTCGACCTTAAGGCGGCATTCGACTCTGTTGATCGTGAGGTCCTATGGCAGTGTTTATCACTGAAAGGAGTACCA